CTGGGGGGCCGGGCATGGGGTGAGGCCCCCGCAGGGCTCCCCGCACCCCCAGCCGACCCCCACGGTGCCTACCTGGACCTCGCCGGAGCCGTCGTCCACCATGCGGGTCCGCGCGGCCACCTGGGGCTGGGCGTGCAGTGTCATGGCGTCGAACTTCACCTGCTCCACCTTGGCTGCGGGGCAGGGCGGGGGGCTGAGGCTGCGGTGGGGGGACCCTCCAGAACCCCCTCCCTCCCCCAATGCTGGCTGGACCACCATGGGATGGGGTCTGGCAGGGGGACCCCAGGGGCTGTGGGTTGCGAGTGAGGGGCACCAGCAAGGGGTGCCCCCCCTTATCACAGTGCCCTCTGAAAAGAGGAGACCCCCCCATGCCCCCTGCTTACCCACGGTGCCGCGGGTGTGGGTCTGGCCCAGGCCACGGCTCTGCTGGTGCTCTGTCCAGCCCTGGAAAAGCTGCTTGAAGACGGGCGACTCGGCCCCATCGTTCTGTATCTCCACGGATGTGGTCTCTGGGTAGCCCTTGGCCTTGAGGAAGCCCTGGGGGGGGACACGGCTGGGCGTGGGGCAGGGGCTGCGGGTCGGGAGTGAGGGGACCTGCCCCCCTCATATGTTGGGAGGGCACGAGGAGGGTCCTTGCTCCAGGCCCCCCAGGGCTGCCCCCCATCTTACCAGGGCCCTGCTTATGGCCTGCTCCCGCTCCTGCTGGCTGGCGTTCTTCCCCTTCCACACGAAGATCCTGCTGCCGCCCTGGTCCAGGATGTAGCAGTCCTGGGGGGCAGAGACCCTAGCACCATCAGAATCAGGCCCCGGGCAGGGAAAGGGTGGGGGGCTCTCAGAGGGACTAGGGGGGCACGTACGTCATGGCTCAGCATGTCTTGGGTCAGGGGCCGGACGGCGACTTCCTGCACCAGGAGGTTCCCTTCGGCGTCGGACACGCTGCCCAGGCGAGAGGGGCACACTCAGCGCAGCAAGGGGACGCTGGCCCTTTAAGAGGGGGCTGCCCACCCGGTGGAGTGGACCAGGGGTCTGGCAGCCAGGCCCCCCACGCCTGCCATTGCCCCCCACTCCCGAGCGCCAGCCCG